AGATAAGGCCCTTCGAATATACATAATTACAGTTTGGGTTTTGGAATTGTGTAAAATTGTGTAAATGACAAAAAGGGTCAATGACCCAATCTGTCATTTGTAAAATTAAGAAAAATTGACAATTTTGCCCTGATTAAGCAAAAGTGAGTAGTTATTCTCTAAACAAATCTAGGTAACGTTTATACTGTTCTAGTGATTACATGATTAGTTGTAGTTAATAACAAGACATTTTCTCATGGGGCATTCCTGACTACAAAAAATGAGTAGTTATCCTCTACACGAATCTAAGTAACGCGTAAACCCTTATAGTGATTCTTTAAATTATTGTTATGAATGAATAGAAATGAAAGCAAAAGTGAGTAGTTATTCTCTAAATAAATCTAGATAACGTTTATACTGTTCTAGTGATTACATGATTAGTTGTAATTAATAACAAAGCACCTTCTTATGAGGCATTCCTGACTACGAAAAAATAAGTAGTTATTCTCTACATGAATCTAGATAACACCTAAATCTTTATAGTGATTCCTTAAACTATTATAGTGAATGAATACAAATGAGGACAAAATTGTCACTTTCTTTTAATTTTACAAATGACAGATTGGGTCATTGACCTTTTTTGTCATTTAGACAATTCCAGGACCCAATATGGAATTATGCATATTCGAAGAGCTTTATCTGGAATTTTTCCAAAAATTAATTCTTCTCGCATTTCATTTCAAAGAATAAATTTCGTTGAGAGTAGAAATAATGAACAGGTTAATGATAATTTTGAAATCAGTTAATCAGTTAATCTTTTCAGCTCTTCTTATTTTTATCTCCTCCTTTTAATTACAGATTCACTAGAAAAAAATTTAACAGGCACATGTATATGTGTGTGTAGATCTTAAAAATAAAAAACATGATATAAATAATAAAAGTTGGTGAGCAGAATTAAAGATGGCTTTGAAAATGTTTGTGTATGATCAAATCAATCCAACCCGTGAATTATATGAATCAATTTTTGAACTAAGTCTGTCTTTCGGTTTAATTTATTATAATACTAAAATAAAACAGTAATTTTAAATTATCTTTCAAAATCAAAATTATAATTAATGGATATATTATCAATAAGCTGTTGATTGAAATTATAAGCCATTTTATTTTTATAAGGAAGAGAACATAAATTTGAATAATGGAAAGTACACTTATTGAGAAGGTTTTAATCTCAACACTCTCAACTGAACAAAAATTAATCTCAAACCCAAAGCTTACTTATATGTTGAGTTTAGTGCTTTAAGCTTTACAAACTATATTTTTAATCTTTTATTGGAAGTGGAAGTAGGCTAGGCCCCTATTAAGGACTATGGCCTAGCTTACTTAAAGTCTACCATAACCTATTTACTACTAAGATGCATACCTATTTAGGCAAACAAGCCAATCCTAACCTATAAGCCTACAGACTTGAACTATTTAAGTCTTTTAATTTGCAATATTATATATAATATAATTTAAATCAATTTTATAAATTATTTGTAAAATTATTAGCTTTGGCTTCATCTTAAATTTCATGTCATAACATTCATATATAAGATTAACTCTTTCATTCATTAGTCAATCACTTCCACATCTCTTGTTGTTTATCACTCAAAATGGCAATGGTTAGCTGGCTCCATTTTTCCTTGATTTGTGTTGTTTGATAAAACATAATAATTATTGTAAGTTTAGTTTGGTGACACCTAAATAAAATATTATAATCTTAGTAGAAAAGGTTTGTCATAACTTCTATGAGAAAACCAAAAAAAGTTAAAATCTAGTCTTGGTATCATTTACTGTGATTGGTTGATGTCAAGAAATATATTTCTTTAATCAAAAGATAATTGATTTTTTTTTATTCTTACTTGTTTAGACAATTATTGTCAGTATGTTTTTTTTTTTTTTTCATTCCTCAACTTTTATATTGCAAATGAAAATGGATTCCAAAATTTTGAGATATAATATAAACTTTTAAAAAGGTTTTAAAAGTTATATTTAAACTTGAAGGCGTAAATTTCAAGCCTATTTAAAGGCTCATATTTTAAATAGGTATTTAAAAAGATTTTAGGCTTTTTAAAGGCTGACGTTCATTCTTAACAAAAAATCTATACAAAGGCTTAGGTCCAGATTTAAACTTTAAATGTCTGTTGTAAACCCAAACCTAACTCAAGGATAGCCTTGACTAACCTATTTTCATACCCACTTAATATTATTAGCATTTAACACAGTTTAACTCTTATTCTTCTGATCCTATTTATAAAGCACTTCCAACATGTTTCACACAGATAAAGAAAAACCTTAAACTGCATTAACTCTTCATTAAAACATAATTATTTTCCAACTTTACCCTCATTTAATATATGCACTTTTCAAAAAAATAACTATTTTACTATAATAAATAAAGGACAAAATAGTACATTCATATTAAAAATTTAATGAAATGACTTATAAATAGGATAAAAAAAAACTTTTTCTCTCTGCCTTATAAATAGGACCAGATGAGTACCAAAAAAATGTTGAATTCACGGAATTTAATGGTGAATTAGCAATAAAATGAGACTTAACAATGTTGATATTAAGATACAAAATATAATTTATAAATTTAAGGGATTAAACTAAAACTTTTTTTGACCAGCGGGATTAAACTAAAAATTGAGCAAACTTTGAAGATTAAACATATAGCTGGGGGTATCTTTTTTTTAACCAGAGGCAGGGCTATCTTATTTAGGGAGTGTTTGGCAATCTCCAAACCATGGTTTCAGAAACACTTTTTCGTAAAATGAGATAAATTCCTCTACATATTTACTTCGTAAACCGTAAAAGCACTTCTAAAACTATAGTTTAGTTTCTATCCAAACATCCCCTTAACCTACCCAATAAGTTGAATTTCAATTTGCAATCAATACATCAAAATAACTTAAATAAATTAGCTCATTTAACTCACAATAAATTTGTTTGTTTAATTCACTTTAACTCATTTTACGGACCTGCCAGATGCCACGCCACGAAACGGAGGAAGGAGACAGAAGCGGTAGACCCCACCTAGACTGCACGTGAGAATTTCCCGCATCGCAAGCCCAAAATCAACATTTCCACAAAGTCCTTGGAAAACGTCCCCCCCACAATAAATTGCGTCATCACCGCACCTTGGAAGACGTTTCAAAACACGTAATACTTCATAGTTCTTTTGTTTTTTTTTTTGTTTAACCAGTAAATTTGGTTATATTTGGATTATCTGTAACAAAACTCACTTTTATTTCATATAACTTTTATAAAAATCAGTTAGTGTGATGTCATTTATGTTTGGATTAGTATTTCTAAGAAGTTAATTTGGAAAAGTTGTATCTTGTTTGGATGAATAATAAAAAAGTAAATTTATATATAAAATAACTCAAAAGAATATGAATTTTTATATAAGACTAAGTTAACTAATTTAAAAAGATTATGGATATATATAAGTATTTTAGAGAGATTATGTAACATATAATATAATATATTTATTTATTTGCATGAATCTATAATTTTAACTTTTATTAATTAAATTAGTTTAGACGAGGCATAATATATAGTAAACATGAATAAAGTTAAAAAATTGTTAAATTTTAAATAGGAGTTAATGAAATTTATTCTTGGTATGTGTAAAATATATTGAAAATAATTTATAAATAAAACCAGATGAGTAACTTTTTAATGGAGACACTTTTTCCTAATTTTCTCTAAATTTTATTATTTAAATTTTTATACATATGAAATTATTGGGTTTGTTGGAGTCTTTTGTCTTTTTCATTACTATTTTTTTCTCTCTCCACATTCTCACCACCAAAAGCCCCATAAATTAACTTAAATGAGCTTTTTTCCCTAAAAGTTAGTTTGAGAAAAAACTGATCTAAACAATTGTTCAGACTTACACCAGCTACTAACGCCCGTCTCCCAAGTTCTAATGTATGTTTGACCTCTTCAGCGTCAATCCAAACATGCAGTTCATAGTTCATGTGTTTCTCAATAAATCCTATATCGTGTAGTGTAGGGTGGATTTGAACCTCGATTCAATAATATCAATCATCAAATTATAATTTAATAATATTGAAAAGAGCTGTTATATTTTTTACTTAAAAATTTTAAAACTTAAATACCTCAGTCACTCAATGTTTTTCTTTTAAATATAACTTCTATTTCGATGTATTCCTTCTTATCCCTCATATAAAAGTTAGGTGAATGGATTTATTTTGGTTTTAAATATACTATTTTATGTTCCAAAATTATAACATTTTTGTCAAACTAATATTATTGGTTCCATCTACATTAAAAGGGGGTTTTTATTCCGGCAAAACAGGGAGTTTTTATTAATAGGCATAATGAAGACCATTGAAAAAAAGGCACCCGTTGAAAAGGCAATACCTACTTAGTTCTAAAATTTAACTTACTATGATTTAATCCCAATAATTTTAATCGTTTCAAACTTTAGTTCCCAAATTTATTAAAATATATAATTTATTTTCTAAAATATAATGATTAATTTCTTGAATGATTAAAATTACAGTTAGGGTGTTCAATCAAATTAATGTTCAATAATTAAGTCATAATAATTATGTCAAAACTATAAGAATTAAATGATTTTAAATTGAATTTTAGAAATTGAATTATAATTGAGTGGAAATTATGGGGATGAAAAGATTAATTTTTATGTTTCTTAGCTGAGACTCAATTCAAATTGTTCAACTATTGTAGTAGGATTGAAAAATGCACGTGGCAGCTAGTTAAAAAACAAGAAGTAGCACAATTATTATTGTTGTTGTTGTTTTCCAGTTTTTGTTAAACATGAGTTGAATAGAGTCCACCAACCCCGCTCACCTACTACGACCGTCACATTGTGCGTCATCCAGTCATCGACCCACTGGTCACCGATCGCCGCTATCTAACGCCGTTACTTCCCTACCGTTTCTTCCATAAAAACCCCGTACTTTCAATCTTATTCCTCGGACCAAACCCAATCGCTGAAACAAACGCATACTCTTCACTCCCTCGATCGCCACCATGGATTTTCTCCTTCTGGAGAAGACCCTCCTCGGTCTCTTCGTTGCCGTCGTCCTCGCCACCGTCATCTCCAAGCTCAGAGGAAAGCGCTTCAAGCTCCCTCCCGGCCCCCTTCCAGTTCCCATCTTCGGAAACTGGCTTCAAGTCGGCGATGACCTCAACCACCGCAACCTCACCGACTTGGCCAAGAAATTTGGCGACATCTTCCTCCTCCGGATGGGTCAGCGCAACCTCGTCGTCGTCTCCTCGCCGGAGCTCGCCAAGGAGGTGCTCCACACACAAGGCGTTGAGTTCGGCTCCCGAACCCGCAACGTAGTGTTCGACATATTCACCGGAAAAGGTCAAGACATGGTGTTTACCGTCTACGGCGAGCACTGGCGGAAGATGCGGCGGATCATGACGGTGCCGTTCTTCACCAACAAGGTGGTTCAGCAATACCGGCAAGGCTGGGAGAACGAGGTGGATCAGGTGGTGGAAGATGTGAAGAAGAATCCAGAATCGGCGACGAAAGGAATCGTCCTAAGGAAGAGATTGCAACTGATGATGTACAATAATATGTACAGAATCATGTTCGATACAAGATTCGAGAGCGAGAACGATCCGAAGTTCCAGAAACTCAGAGCTCTGAACGGAGAAAGAAGTCGATTGGCTCAGAGCTTCGATTACAACTATGGCGATTTCATTCCCATTTTGAGACCTTTCCTTAGAGGTTACCTTAAGATCTGTAAGGAAGTCAAAGACACAAGGTTGAAGCTCTTCAAGGACTATTTCGTCGACCAGAGAAAGTTAGCTTATGCTTTTAATTTATATAATTTTACTCACTTCGTCTTTGAAAATCTGCAATTTCTTTTATGTTATTGATTGTGATTACGATGAACTTTCAATTCAGGAAGCTGGAAAGTACGAAGAGTACGGGAAACAATGGACTTAAATGCGCCGTTGATCACATTTTGGATGCTCAGAAGAAGGGAGAGATCAACGAAGACAATGTGCTGTACATTGTTGAGAATATCAACGTTGCTGGTACGTTCTTTCTCTTTGTTTTCTTTACGTTTTCTTGCTGATAAATAACCAAACAAACAAAAGAACTTGCCTCAATGTGCGTGAGCCTTGGGTCTGGGACTTGAGTTACGCTTTACTTGTGAGTCAGGGGAGTACTCTTGGGCTCTGTTTTTGGTAGGAATGTCTCAAAGTCACGGGCGTGATTAACGAAAACAGAGACCAAATTGATTCTCCGTTTGACAAGTACAGTGTTTCATTTTTATTTGTTTGCAGAATAGCAAATGAATTAATGTGGGGCCCCACTTGTCAAATTGGGGTCCGCCTACCGTCATGACGCCTACTTGGCTAGCACGGAGCCATATATAACCACCTGGAAACAAACTTTTTTTTTTTTTCCCATGCATGTTACTTTTAGTTAAGAATTGGATTTTCAATGAGTAGATAAATTGGGCAAATTTAACTAATATATATAATTAATAACTAATTTGATGCTATTATGGTAAGGCATAATATATATAAATAACGCATGTTTAAGAATAATTGTAATTTATTTATAATTACTTTTTTTTGTAGCATCTAGGTTGCCCATGATTGTCTGATATTAATTATTTATAATATATACATAGTTTTTTTTTTTTAAAATTTAACAAATACCGCGTGTGGTAGGACCCGTTTGCTCCGCTTGTTGGATAATGATAAAAAAAGAGTACAATCATCTTGTGCAGGAGATTTTTTTTCTTAAAAAAAAATAAAAACTTAGTATTAGTTCTGATCCTTAATATAAGAGTTAGTTAATTAATTTGAGTAGATTAAAAAAACTAATTAAGTTAGTTATTTATAATAAATAAGTGTTGTTATTTCTCAAATATCCTTGTTAATCAAGTATATTGACTAAAACTACCATTATCACAAGGATTATTTCAAAAAAAATAGATAAATATGAGAGACAAAATATATTAGAGTTTTATATTTAGAACGAAAATAAAAGTCAAATAAACTCTTATATTAAGGATTGGAGGAATTAGTATTCAGCTGAATAGTCAAAAACACAAATTTAAATCACTTTTGATTTTCCATTGTCCCAATTTGTTAGTATGATTAGAGGTTGGTGATAGTATTGCGTGGCTGTTGTTGGTATGATTGCGACCATATCTATTGGCTTGGTGGAGGCAAGGCCTGGGGTTTACCGTCATCCGTCATTATTCTTTGGTCTTGTATTATCTTTGTCATTCAACACCATCTCCCTCCATTAAAAAGTTAAAAAGAAAAAGAAAAGAAGAGCAAAAGAAAACAGTCAACTGGTTTGGTATTAGTTCTTTAAAATTCAACGAGTAACTAATGGTCAATATATTACTACTGCTTAACTAATTTAAATAAATTAATAAAATTATATAAATTAAGTAATTATAACAAATATAATCTGCTCACTAAAATATCTTCGTGTACATAATTATATATTGGTTTATAAATTAATGAAATTAATTTGAGAAAAAAATAATAAATAAGAAAAACCAAGTAAAAATTTTTCTATTATTTAGGACTAATTCAACTATCAATTAGATAAAATATTATAATAAATTATGATTATAATTTATGAATATTTAGTTTTACTCTCCATGCATGCACCTGACATTTCTTTGCCCCCAAATTATGTTTTTTTTTCTTTTTTAGAATTCATGTGTGTGTGTGTTTGTTTTGCTGCCAAAGAATAATATTTCATGTGTGTATGAGAAAGGTCTAAATTAAAACTTTTTCTTTTATACAAGTCTAAATCTGATTAATTATATTGTTTGATGAATAAGAAATACTAAAAGATTTGAGTTCAACATACTGATTAACTTTTTCCCTTTTTGCAAGCAGCAATTGAGACAACTCTGTGGTCAATCGAGTGGGGTATTGCCGAGCTAGTGAACCACCCACAGGTTCAGAAGAAGCTCCGGAACGAGATCGACACCGTTCTCGGAGTCGGGAACCCGGTTACTGAACCCGATACCCACAAGCTCCCATACCTCCAGGCCGTGATCAAAGAGACTCTCCGTCTCCGAATGGCGATCCCACTGCTTGTCCCACACATGAACCTTCACGACGCCAAGCTCGGTGGTTACGACATCCCGGCGGAGAGCAAGATCCTGGTGAACGCATGGTGGCTGGCCAACAACCCGGCCCAATGGAAGAACCCAGAACAATTCCGACCCGAGAGGTTCTTGGAGGAGGAGGCCAAAGTGGAAGCTAACGGAAACGACTTCAGGTACTTGCCATTCGGAGTCGGAAGAAGAAGCTGTCCCGGAATAATACTGGCGTTGCCTATCCTGGGTATCACTTTGGGGCGTTTGGTTCAGAACTTTGAGCTTTTGCCTCCTCCTGGTCAATCCAAGATTGATACTACTGAGAAAGGTGGACAGTTCAGTTTGCACATACTTAAGCATTCCACCATTGTTGCCAAGCCAAGAAGCCACTAGAGAGTTCTGTATTAGGTCTCAAGGGAACTAAAAGCGTCGTGAGAGACAGATCCATGTAGGGCCTCCATCAATTGCAATCGGTCAATTCTATTTTGCAGGTCTCCGATTTGTAACACGTGATGATGATAATTTTGAAATAATTAATTTCCAATATTTTACAATCACATATAGTTGAAAAATTATTGCCTCAAAGTCCTTAAAATCTTTAAATTAATTTTAAGTCCGGCTGAGAGATTTTATTTGTCAAATTACTAAATCACCCTTCATGTTTTAACTGAAAACCTGAGATAAAGATCCGGCGTAAAACCTCACTCTCTCACCCTTGCTCCTGCATGCCCTTGCTTTCTGCTCCACCGCGACTTCTCTTTGCTCCACCGTGACTCGTGCCGTTATTAACCATTGTTCGGTCGCTGCTGTCTTAGTAGCTTAGATTGTTTTTGTCGCCAGTGTTTGGTCGTCGTTCTCCTCGTCACCATTGGAAAAGGTAAGCCATAGACCGTTGGCCCTTACTCTCTCGTCCCCTCAATTGAAGAATCGTTTCTTGTCCACCCAGCACCCATATCAATAATTTCTCTCTGGGTTGCAAGTCTCTTTGAAAACCCCACACTTGCCCACTAAAATTCTGCTTCAAAATACTGGGATAAATGCTGTACATTTTTACTCTTCTCTCTCTGTGTTGCTATTTTTTTGCGTGGGGTTATGTAATCCTGATTATTCCTGCAAATTATAAGATTGATTTGAGTAACCTAGTCAAAATGACACTACTTTTTCTTTGGTTGCGTCTAAATTTTCAGTCTTTACCCTCAACAATACTTAATGATGTCAGATTTGAAATTAGGATGTTACGAAACTTTTGATAGCTTTCTATGAAAATTTAGGGACTATGTGTTTACAGTCTGCTGCTATGCTACCTACAACAACTCAGGTTCAATTTAGGTTTATTTGTTTTTCGCTGCCAATTTTAGGATCTTTGTAGTGGGATTCAAAATTTGCCTCTTTATGGTCTGTATTTGAGATAATATGCATCAGTCCTTTAAATGTTTATGTCGACTTGATTCTTAGAATGATCTGTATGCATCGCCTGAAGTGTTATACGTTTTATGAATGTTTAAGGAGCGAGGTTTGCTACTGGTATTTCTTGAGTCTTTTAACATTTTTCTTTAGATTTCAATTACTACTCCTTGGCCTTGGAACGCATCATTTATTGTCTTGACTATATGCTAATTGGTCATAAGGTGGGATTGGTAACTTTGTTTAGTATTAAAACATTATTCAATTTGTATAGACCTACTTAATGAAGTGTAAATGACAAGGAAAATTGATTGAGGTGCATTGACAACTCAATGTGCATATATTGACAAGTTAAAGGGCATTAGTTGACAACTCGATTAGTGAGATAAAATTAGGTTCACAGCATGTTAAAATATAACAAACAAGTATTATATAACCTTATCAAAGCTGAAACCATGTAATTATAATTATAAATAAGAAAATATTTAAACAGATATTAGTAGGATATAGATAAGATTTAATTATATTGGTAGGATTTAGATATATTAGGATACCAAGAGAATATTTAAACAAGATTATGATATTTATTTAGATTTATATCTATTAGAACTTTTACTTATAAATAAGTACTTATTATCCTTTGTAACTTAGTTTTCCAATTTGATAAGAAATTATTTAGTTTCTTATCGTCTTCTATTTTTCTCTAATTTTCTGCTTCTCTTATTCTTTTCCCTTTCTCTTCACTCTTTCACACCTTCCTTGTTTTTATTCACTAATATATTTTTGAATTTCCATTCACTTTTGTTTTTAACCCATCTCTTGCACCTAGCGAGTGGAGTACATTCTACCGAAAGATGGTCATTTTAGGTTAAAGTTCAACACCCATGCTTATTTGACAGTTTGTTTTGAACTTATTTTGTCATCTTACTATTTAATTATTGACTGTTTGTTTCTTCAAAACAATAGTCAGAGACACATAAAGTGGTCACCCCAATAAACCTGGGAACATGTGGTTGGAGAACTTGCTAGTCACCAAGATCCATTTGACCAACAAATGCTGAGTAATAAGCTTCCTTCTGTTGGGGCTTTAGAAAGTGCAGATCAAGTATGCTTTTTATCTCAGAAAGTGCTTGGTATAAGTTGTGATCGTGAACTAGATTTGCTTAATAATTCATGCTTTGCCTAGTATAATTTGTTTGTGGGAATATGGGCTTAGTGAAAATGGACTTGTAATTGAATTTGTAGTGAAGATTAGCAAAATTTTTTGGGAAAATTTCAATGTAGGACCGCACAAGACAATTAATCTCAAAACGCCCTCAAAACTTTCTGAAACCTCACTGCAGGACCAAGGGGCCAATCTGATATTAATTCCACAAATGAAATGACGCCACTACCCTTAGCATCAGGTGAACCAGTCCACATGTGAACGGACTGATTCCATGTGTGAATATATGTATTTCTTCTGCAAATTGGCTAGTTCCCCGTGCAAATGCGATCTCCCGCACTTGTTCCCTCACGGACACATGCTTTAGGTGAACCAGTTCACATGTGAACGGACTGATTCCACGTGTGAATATATGTATTTATTCTGCAAATTGGCTAGTTCCCCTTGCAAATGCGCTCTCCCGCACTTGTTCCCTCACGGACGCATGCATCAGGTGAACTAGTCTACATGTGAACGGACTGATTCCACGTGTGAATATATGTATTTATTTTGCAAATTGGCTAGTTCCCCTTGCAAATGCGCTCTCCCGCACTTGTTCCCTCACGGACACATGCTTCAGCTGAACCAGTCCACATGTGAACGGACTGATTCCACGTGTGAATATATGTATTTATTCTGCAAATTGGCTAGTTCCCCTTGCAAATGCGCTCTCCCGCACTTGTTCCCTCAAGGAAATAAGTTTCTACTAGGGGCAGTGGCATCATTTCGTTTGTGGAATTAATATCAGATTGGCCCCTTGGTCCTGCAGTGAGGTTTCAGAAAGTTTTGGGGGCTCTTTGAGATTAATTGTCTTTTGCGGTCCTACAGTGAAATTTTCCCAAATTTTTTTGTGTGTATCATGAATTGGATTTGTGATTGAATTATTGTGTATAAATCAATTGATTTGCACATGTCCATTTAAGTAGGATTCTAGGCTATTCATCTTTGTTGACTTCATCTGATCTTTTCCCTGAAACATTATTGAGCTTATTTTATATTATTTACCGTGAAGAAATGTTATTTCTATGGGCAAAAGGAATTAGAGATGTTGAAAGAGGACAAAGAGTCTAAAGTCGAAGTAGCACTCGGATGTTAAAGCTAGAAGTTCAACTTAAGCCGTTAAGGTATATTGCAATGTGATGAAATTGGATTTTTGTTTTTTTTACGGGTTAAAAAGACGATGAAGAACACAGAGCCAAAGTAGCTTGATTTTTCTAGCAATGCACTCTTTGCAGGAGAATATTACAAGAAGAATAAAAGATCTTATGGACAGGTTGAAGAAAATTGGGTTTGATAAATTGGTTGAGTTGTGACAAAAAATTAAGAAAATAAGATGTTTCAATTGTATATGGATTTTATTATAACAATAAAGGTCTTAATTAAATGTTCTACTCATTCCTTTGTGGTTTTTGTTCTCACACCACTGCAAAAAAACAGTTGATTAGTGACGGAATTTGCGACCAAAACAAATTCCGTCACTAATTTCTGATGAAATTGCAACAAAAATTCCGTCGCTAATATTTCTAACGGATTAGTGACGGAATTTTTTCATCGCTAATATTAGTGACAAAATTTCTATCAATCGTTAAATTCTGTTGCTAATCTGTCGGATAATCCGTTAATAAATATTTAGCGACAAAATTTTTTCCGTCAGAAATTTCCGTCCTAATTCTGTTGCTAAAATTGTTTATCACAGAAGTTTTCGTCACTAATTCTATCGCTAATTCTATTCCGTCACTATTCCGTTGCTAATCCTTCACTAATTTTAAATTTCATTATTTTAAATTATAATCTTACAAAAATTTATATAATGACTTAAAAACATTTTTAATTACAAAATAAATTGGTATATTTGTAGAATTGGTGTTAATGAAGATATCGTTATCATTCATATCATTATTAGGTATATACTGAAAATAAGAAGAGAATTTCTTACAAAACTTGTTTATATTTCGTTAAAATAAATTCCTCTTGATTATTAATAATAATTAAAAAAATATAATAAAAATACTAATAACTTTCTTATACAAACTGATATAAGAAAGAAATAATTTTATCATTTGTTCAAATGTGAACGCAAATTATTATTAAAGTGAATTTTGAATTTTAATCATTAAATAATAAAATTTAATCATAAAATAATTAATACCCATGATAGAGATTGATTTTGGTCTTCAATACAAAAACAAATGGTATATACAAAGAATTTTAAGAAAATAAATTACATAGGATATATATACAAGTAGGAGAATATTGTTTACCATAATCTATTCAAATCATTTAATTTTTCATATAGAATAATTTATTAGATTTTATTATAGTAGTTATTTTTTGAATAACAAGATTTTTTGACTAATTGTAACTAATTTTCTTCAAATATATAAAAACACTTATAGATAATATAATATAATGTAATATAATACATATATAGTTAAATTGTATATCTTATCAATGTTAATTAAAAAAATAAATTTAAAAAATATTGATAAAAAAATATTTATGATTTAAAATTCAAAATTAGTGTCCTTAGAAATTAAAATTATATTAAAAATATTTTTTTAAAATAAAAAAATTATAAAACAAACAGTAAAACAAATATTTAAAAATCATTTTATCATTAAAATAGTTATGATTAAAATTATCATATAGTATATTTTTAGTTTTTAACAATATAATGTATATATAATCGTTTGTGTAAAATAATATTATATATATAATTTTACATAATAAGTCAACAGGTTCATTACAATTCAACTGGTAAAGCTGCACGCAAGCACAGATGAAGTCCTGGGTTTGAGCCATAGAGAAGTCACTTTGAGGAGGGAATTATGTGGTGGCAACACATAGCAGGCAGAAGGTGACATGTGACGTGGCAGCAGAGGTGAGGTGCCAGCACACGTGGCAGGCAAAGCATGAGGTGACAGTGACATGTGGCAGTCATCA